CCTTAGGTAAAAATCAGACATAATAACTACAGTGACCACTGCAGTTAGGTGCTTGGTGTCATGTGAATAGGGAAGGGCTATAGATTTTAAAAGCAGAATGAGACTTCCTTCAGATCTTTCACAGATAAAGAATAGCCCAATATTAAAAGAAATGAATCTCAGTCTGTTTTTTTTTTCTGATGATTCCACAATGTTAAGGAGTTTTTTTCTCATATCTTACAAGCTCCACAGCACCTTTCCCCCCTGCTACTTTTGTATTGTATAATTAGCTTATAATTATGTGCTCTTTCACATTGGGAAGCCTATTCTTTTATTAATGACTCTGAAAGTTCTTTATTATTTATCTTTGAAAGTGAGTTTGAAATCAAAAGGCTTATATGACTTTTCCTTTCTTTGTAATTTAGTAGATCTTAAAAGTAACACACCTAATTCTTTTTTTTTTTTCCCCTTGAGAATGAGAAATAGGTTTTGGGAAATAAATGTTGCATGCTCCATTCTCTCCAGATCAAATGAGTGGAGTTTTGAAGACTATGTTTGCAACAAAATAGCTATGTTCCCCAACAGGCTGTCCATTCCTTGCATTTTCCCTTTGCTAAGACGAATATAAAATGGATCAGGGATGAAAACACTTCCTGAATCTAGTAAAAAGACAGAAGGAGGATGTAAGTCACATTTGTGATATGTGCAATATAGGTTCTAAATTATCCTTAAGAGGGAGTTACCTCAGCCTTTGATTTGTAGCTGATTCTGGAAGGTACCACTCATCTCTGTTGAGGCCGTGCAAGCCTCATTGCTGTTTTTGGCTGAAGGCACTTTTCTCTAACATTAGGCTTATTGGAGCACTCCAGACTGGATATGGGCAATTATAAGGGAGAGTGTGCCTTATTACAAATTTTAATCATTTCTCGAGCCATTTTGCTTGCAGTGATAATCCCATAAGACCAACAAATCTTGCATAAGAAACGCAAAAAGCTTTTAGCTGAGAGCAGCTCTTAAGTTTTTTAAGCTATTCTTGTTTGTATGGACTTCCCATTTGTGGCTGGGACCTGCCAAATCAGAGCTCCAAAGGCTTCTTGGCTCATGGTGGCCACAGTTACCTAACTAAAGACTAGCAAGTGCGTTAAAATAACAATGATTAAAATAATGACCCAGGTTTCCTCTCAATAGTATTGCTGCATTTATGCATGCTGGAAACTACTTCTAACACTTCCACTGTGGGCAAATATTGTACCCAGAGCTATTTCAAGAATTTTTCTTATCTCCTACACTTTTGTACCATTTCAGTGGGGATGGCAAAGCAACAATTACCTGATGACCTTGCAAATTTTGCTTATTTTATGGTACAAGAGAAGTTTGCACAAATCCTTTTGTGAGCCAAACTAACATTCAAAACTGCACATTTCTGCCTAGCCATTTGGAAATCCTTGATGTCTCTTTAGCTGAAAATGTTCAAGTAACATACCTCACCAACAATATTTTTTCTTGCAAAGGAAATAAAAGGACAATAATACTTTACTTTGATTGTGGTCAAGCTCCTTCCTGTAGCCTTCTTATACAAGGTGATTTTTCTTCTAAAATGGGAGTTATAGAATAGGAAGGAATCTTTAAACCAATTTCATACAACGCATACAATTGCATGAATTCTCTTCAAAACACCTAAATTAGGTCTTCCATTAGCATTTATTCTTCAGGGCAAAAGAGATGAAAGAAAAATAGGAGGTTCTCGCCAATGCATGTAGGACAATGTCTTATAACTAAAAACAATGACAGAATCTAGGACATAGTTTTCCCTACTCATGAATTTTCAGTCTTTTATCCATCTTGTTTGATTCCATTGGACAGTATTTGTGAATCAGAAACTCAATGCTAAGTTTAGGTTTCTGAGAACATGAACAAACAGACCAACTGGGAGTGAAATAACGCTTCTAAAAAATATTTTTTTTAACATTTATATCACTTGGCCTTGACCCTTTCATTTCATGATGCATAAAGTTAAATTTAAAGGTTTACTTTGTATCAAAAGAACTATAATAAACTTTTATTACTATTACTTAAGAAAACATTAAATTATCTAGCACAAACCACAGGTTAAGAGATTAGGTTTCGGAATGGGACTGTGTAGTTTGAATCCCGACTTTCCAATTAACTAGCTATATAAACTTGGAAAGCCACTTAACTTTTTGAAGCTTTGGTTTATTCATCTGTAAAAGGGAGATAATAGTGTTATCTTCTTCACAGGGCCATTAAGAGAATTAAATGAGTTAATTCACGTGAAGTACTTTGTTCAGTATATAGCATATGTTTTAAGTATTCAATAAATGTTAGCTTCCCTTTGTCCACTGAAGTAATAAAAGCATGGAATTTGGTTGTACAAAGCTTATTATTTTCTTTCATCTGTGTAGAATATCAAGACTTTGGTGAATTTCCATGAGTGATATTTTGAGCTGATAATTAATGGTATTATGAAAAATTATTTTCATGATATAAATAGCTTATAAGGAAATTTTTAACTGGTAGAAGCTTTTAATAAATCAATATCAATCATATCCTGATATGAATAATGATTATTCTACTAAACTGATCATGCATTTGATGCATTTGGGAAAGTTGTGACATGATTTAGCAAACAAATTAGAGTAATCATCTGACAAAATCTGTTCTTATTTGTGCTGTTTGAAACTTGGGCCTCTTCTATGTATGACTGATCAGTTGAGACATTGAGAATATCACTTGATAGATGATATAAATAGATAGGATTATAGAATAATCATTTTTAGTGGTCCTGCCAAAGTTAAAAAATGTATCAAATAATATTATCAATTAGTCAGTCTCTAATTTTATTTTACCTTTTTTGAAACATTCCCGCATATACTACCATTCTGTTTGATTCCTCAATTATCCAACAATAATCAAATATGCTTTCCTCAAAGCAAAACACACACACACACACACACAAATCATTCTAATTCTATAAATATTTCAAATTTTATCATCCAGAATATTTACATAGCTAATTAGCATATCAAAGAATAGGGCTGTTGTTCCCTTCTCTCCTGTCTCCCAGAGGTTAGTCATTGTAAACTTGAAATATATCTCTGTCTTAAGAGTATTCTTTTTGTATACTATGAGATTCTGAAACTCCTTTCAATAATGAATAACAGTGATTACAGACCTTAGCCACTAGAAAATTATTTAATGATACAGAAATTAGGAAAATATAATACTCACTTTTCTAAACTGAAAGAATCTTAGCTGGAAAATTTTTTATTAAGAGTCATTCATATGGCCGGCGCCGTGGCTCACTAGGCTAATCCTCCACCTAGCGGCGCCAGCACACCAGGTTCTAGTCCCAGTCGGGGCGCCGGATTCTGTCCCGTTTGCCCCTCTTCCAGGCCAGCTCTCTACTGTGGCCAGGGAGTGCAGTGGAGGATGGCCCAAGTGCTTGGGCCCTGCACCCCATGGGAGACCAGGAGAAGCACCTGGCTCCTGCCTTCGGATCAGTGCCGTGCGCTGGCCGCAGTGCGCCAGCCGTGGCAGCCATTGGAGGGTGAACCAACGGCAAAGGAAGACCTTTCTCTCTCTCTCTCTCTCTCTCTCTCTCTTTCACTATCCACTCTGCCTGTCAAAAAAAAAAAAAAAAGAGTCATTCATATAAGAGAGCCTCAAAAATTCATGGAAGATGTATATTATGATTAATGTGTTGTCCAATGTGAATTAATGCTATAACTAGTACTCAAACAGTATTTTACACTTTATGTTTTGTGTGGGTGCAAACTGATGAAATCTTTACTTAATATATACTAAATCGATCTTCTGTATATAAAGATAATTGAAAATGAATCTTGATGTGAATGGAATGGGAGAGGGAGCGGGAGATGGGAGGGGTGCGGGTGGGAGAGAAGTTATGGGGGGAAAAAGCCATTGTAATCCATAAACTGTACTTTGGAAAATTATATTTACTAAATAAAAGTTTAAAAAACAAACAAACAAACAAAATGTCATATTTAAGTCCATGAAAAAGGTTACTTCTAATCTTTGGCCAAGCAGAGACTAACACTGAAGGAAATTTTCAAAATAACGCTCCATGTATTCTAAAGTGGCTTATCACAAAAAGATAATTCTTTCTGTTACACAGAATATGAAAGAATTAAGTGATCTTAATTCCTATCTTTACTATCCTATTTTGATAGAGATTCTTATCAAGTAAACTTTGATTTACAATCTTAAAACAAAGAGCCATTAAAGATGGGATTAGGGAAAACAGTTACAGACCATGAATGTGGACCTAGTCCTGGTTCTTTCAGACTATTAACTTCAGACAAGCTTGTAACTACTGTAATCTGAATTTTTCATCACTATAAAGAAGTGACTATACTAATATTAGAATATGTTCAATACGCGTCTCAAATACACCTGGGTGTACCCTGATAAAATATTAAAATTTTATTTATATTGAATAAGCATTTACAAGCACTATAAATGTGTATTTAAAAGCGTTATGAATATGTGTAAGGTATAATGAATATGAATAAAATTAGCCATTGTATGAAAAAATAAAGAAAAAACTATGCACACATTTCAAACATTTTTGTTCCAAAATAAACATTTTAATCTCATTTTCTATGAAGTTTTGAAGTATTCTAGCATATAAAATACGATTTTAATGAATTTATTCAGATTACAATCCATCAGAGAAAAAGGGACCAGGGCCACCTTTCCCAGCCTTTAACATACATCCTCAGGATTTCTGTCACTACTGTCACCATCTCATGAAGGAACAGTGTTTATTCATCAGATAATATGAGAGTTAATGACAATCTATAGAAGATGTCATTCTGAGGGAACCGGAGATGAAAAACTGAATTACAGGAAAATTGGAAAAACACACAATGTAAAAGTCTATGCTGCTATTCTACAATCACCACTTAAAGATACTACTGGACATTGCCCATTCTCTGTTACTTCAGAGATACTTTGATACAAGCAGGTTGTCCACTTACTCTAGTAGTTTTCACTTTATTCCCAGAGGAACAGCTCCATCCTTTCCGATCAGGAAGAACTTTACATTCTTCTCCCTCTAGACATGGCTGCATATGGCACCACCATTTCTGCTCTACTATTGAAGCTACAAGAAAGAGAAAAACTGAGTCAGTGTTTTTCATTTGGGTATACTGGTTCTCTACATGCATATTTAAAGAAGAGCAAAAGCCACAAACTTTTTCTACCACTGAAGACTGAGATTTGAGGGATGTTTCTTTTCTTATTTAAGGAGATTAATCTCTTCTAAGAGATTTTCTCACTAATAGAATTTTTCTTCATGTTAAATTTTATTTAATTGTGGAAAGAGCACAACATAAGTTCTAAACTCTTAACAATATACAAGACAGTATTATTAACAGTAACCACAATGTTGAAAGATTTTTTATGTGAAAATACAGGCTTTGCTGTGGAAGATAGTAATGAAGATTCCTCAGAAATCTGAAAAAAAAAGTACCATATGACCGAGCCATCCCACTCCTAGGAATCTACCCAAATGAAATTAAGTCAGCATATAAGAGTTATCTGTATCCCCATGTTTAGTGCAGCTCAATTCACAATGGTTAAGCTATGGAATCAACTCATATGCCCATCGACTGATGACCAAATTAAAAAAAAAAAAGTGTGGAATACTGCTCAGCCATAAAAAAGAATGAAATCCAGTCTTTTGCAACAAAATGAATGCAACTGGAAATGATTATGCTTATTGAAATAATCCAGTCCCCAGAAGACAAATATCATATGGTTTCCCTGATCTGTAGTAACTGATAGAGTACAAAAAATGTAACATATATGAGAGAAATTGATGCTTGTTTACAGCCCTTGCCTCTACTGTATTTCTCTTATTCTTATTTGTTGAACTGTTTACTTAGTAGTGGATTAGGCTTATGATTATCAATAAAAAAGTATGTCCGTGTAAAAATTTAAAGAAAGAATAAGGAAGGAAGGAGGGAAGCTGAGAGTATCGGTGGGGAGAGGGCAGGGAGAGACAGACCGCAATGCTCCTAAGTCTGTATATATGAAATACATGACATTTGTTAATCTTATATAAATAAAAAATTAAGAAAAAAGAAAGCTCCACTGCACAGAACTCATAAGGAACTCAACTCTCTAACCTATTGCCACCTGAGTGGAATAAACTGCTTTACTATGAAAAAAAATACACATGTAAATTGTGCTTTTTTTGTGTTTGGAGAGTAAAACATTACTGAAAAATTATCATTGTTCAAACCACTTGAACATTAAAATAATTTATCATTAGAATATTAAAGTATTCAAAGTTCTTCATGTAATTATTCAGATATTTAAGTTACATTTTATCTGATAAGCATCAGAATTAAGTGAGACACAGTGTGACAATGAGCGAGAACCAGTCTGGGTCCTCCAGGACCTTATCATCTTGTTTGTGTCAGTAAGTAAGAACATTACTGGGCAATAGTTTTTTTTTTTTTTTAACGATTTATTTTATTAATTTGAAAGACAGAGTTACAAAGACAGGTAGACATATAGAGAGAAAGAGAGGTCTTCTATCTGCTGCTTCACTGCCCAGATGGCCACAATGGCTGGAGCTTGGCTGGTCCAAAGCCAGGAGACAGGAGCTTCTTCTGATTCTCCCATGTGGGTGCAGGGGCCCAAGGGCTTGGGCCATTCTCCACTGCTTTCCTGGCACATTAGCAGGGAGCTGGATCAGAAGTAGAGGAGCCAGGACTCAAACCGGTACCCATATGAGATGCTGGTGCTGCAGGCTATGGCTTTAACCCACTGTGCCACAGCGCTGGCCCTTTGTGTAATAGTTTTACAGATATTAAAGCATAACTACTCAAGCATTTTGGAAAATTCTTATTCATCACTTTCTTGTTTCTTAAATGCTTATATATTTTAAATAGACCACAATGCATTCAAATATAGGAAAATTGTCAAGATTTTCTCAAATCCATTTATTTAACAAATAATTAAATTTTAACAGTGGGTCTTCAAGGCTCCATGGTACTTCTGTACTTCTCCTGAGCTAATTACTTCTCTAGGGTTCTACACAGCATTTCCATATAGATCTTAATACTATAACTGTGTATGTGCATATGCATAAATAATGCATTTTGAAATACCTGCGTTCACACCATACATCTTTGCATATTGCTTTTCATTCAACATGTTTATATATATATATATATATATGTATGTATGCATATATACACATTTATATAACCACATGTTAATACAGATAGACTGGGGCCAGCGCTGTGGCACAGTGTGTTTACACCCTGGCCTGGAGTACAGGCATCCCATATGGGCAACTGTTCAAGATCTGGCTGCTGCACTTCCGATCCAGCTCTCTGCTATGGCCTGGGAAAGCAGTAGAAGATGTCCCAAGTCCTTAGGTCCCTGCACCCACGTGGGAGACCTGGAAGAAGCTCCTGGCTCCTGGCTTCAGATCAACTCAGCTCCTGCCATTGCAGCCATCTGGGGGATGAACCAGCGGGTGGAAGACCTCTCTTTCTCTTTCTCTCTCTCTCTCTCTCTCTCTTTCCCTCTCCCTCTCCCTCTCTCCCTCCCTCCCTCCCTTTCCTCTCTCTGTGTAGCTCTTTTTTTCAAATAAATAAATAAATCTTTAAAAAAATACAGATAGACCATTTCATTCAACTAAATTGGTAAATCAAAATATACCATATACTGTATTTATTAATTTGTCTGATAAGTAACATTAAAAATATTAATTGCTGTTAAAAAAAGAAAATACAGTCTTCATGAGAACAACATGGTGGAATAAAAGCCATCTGAATGTGTGCATGTATTGATTTATATAAATATATAAGAAAATGGAGACACAACCAGTTTAGAGTCAATATTTCAGAATCAATGTAATATTTTCATGAATAGGATGAAAATCAGAAATGTACTGTGCAGTATTAGCACAATTTTTTTAAAAATTCTTAGTTGATAGATAAAAGTTTTACATTTGGGGTATGTGTTTTGCCTATGTGCCATATCAGAGTCTTGGGCTTTATTCCCAGCTCCAATTTCAGATTCCAGCTTTCTGCTAAGACAGATCCTGTGAGGCAGCTGGGAAGGCCAAGTGATTGGGCTCCGGCCACCCACGGGGGAGGCCTGGATTAAGTTCCATAGTGCTGGGTCAGCCCCCAAGGACTGAGCCGGCAGGTGGGCAGTGAACCAAAAGATGGGGGATGTATATTCTACTTACCTCTCTTCCTCTGTCTCTCAAACACATTTTTAAAATTTGTACATATTTATCAAATACCATGTAATTCTATTCTTTTCCTGTGAGGAGTAACCATCATTACATGGAATATTTCATGCTAATAAAGCACTTAACAAACTACTATTTATGGTACTATTAAATAGGTTAATATAAAGATTTATATTTTATTATAATCAGTTGAAACTTCAAAGAAAGGAAATATTTTATATTTTTATAAAAATTAATATTTTATGTGAATTCTATCCACAACTAACCATTAGCTTAAATACAGCATATTGATTTTTTTCATTGTTATGAACCATACATGAGTTTAGAGATCCTTATTATTAACTCATCCATTTTCATACTTGCTTTCCAAGTTAATTCTTATATATTCCTCCCGTCCCATATTTTTAAGGAAATCAATATATCATGGTATCAAAATAAGAAGTAAGTTGATTTAATGAAACCTCAGTATAATGTCTTTTGGACAGAACTACATAAGATTTCAGATCTACTTCCAAAGGATTTTAGATTTCAAATACACCCCCCCTCAAATAACCTCCTTTCAACCATGTGATTTACAGTGTGGTTCCCCAGAATTGACCTCAGCTGACAGCATTATAGTGAGGTTCCAGTTCTCCACTCTCCCCAGCACACTATCAAAAAGAGAACAGAAGTCACACCATCCACACAAGATGGAGCAGCTCGCGTGGTGCCGGCCACCTGCCCCGGGAAGCAGGAGCATTTGACAGTTTGTGACCGTTCTTCTATCTTGTTCTTATTACAGCATCTGTGGAGTGCCACCACCTCACAAGTTCCCGTTTTAACATGATGAGCTGTGCAAACAAAAACAAAAGATAAAACAACATTAGGAAAGCTTTAGACACGTTCCTCCTCCTCTTTTTAATTAGAAGTACATTAAATATAGTTCTATAAGGAATCCACCATGCATGAAACTAGAAATACAATGATTCTAACTCCATAACACAGATTTGATTTAGTTTCTAAATATGGTAGAACCATTTCTGTCAGTAAATGTTTGGTGAAGCAAGAACAAGTAGTGACTAGATTACAATGAACTGTTAAAACAGTCACAAATATACAGGCAAAAATATATTTATTTGTATATGAATTTTTCACACCATTTTGTTCAACTCTGTTCATCAAAATACAGCAAAGCCCTGGACCAGGTGCTCTGCAATGGCGCTGTTGTGAAAGCGTTATCAAAGCAGGTGGTGCTGACTGTGTAATGTCTTTCTTCTGGGAGAAAGTGTAGTGACCAGAAAGGGAATCCTCTCTCAGGAAGCAAAGGCAGAGGATAAGAGCCACATCCTCAGTATTCTTCTGCCCAGTTTCCCTAAAAGCAGACTAATTGGGTGATTCTTGAAATTGCTACCATTTTGATGGAAGTTCCAACTAGTCACAGGGGCCAGAATCATTCCTTTTCATTTTGCCTGAGGGGACAACTTCCCCCAAATGGCACCAACTGCAGCTAAATCTAGGTGGATTTCTATTTGCCAACCAGACACCTGTAAACTCAGCCCTATATGTGATCAGGCTCCCATATCCATATTTTTTAGCTTTAAATTAAGGCTACTGAGGTTTTTTGCTGGTTGAAATTTTGGATATCACTTGACACACTATGATTAAATTATATTTGTCTTTATCACTGCTGTTTTTGTCACCATTTGTCCTTCTAGGAATTAATCCTACTGTGAAATGATGCAAAGTTTCATCTTTGAAAAATAAAAATGGCTTAAAATCAACCACTTATTGAAAAATTATGGCTTTTAGCAATTTTTAAAAATTGTGATTGAGGGGCGGGCATTGTGGCTTAGTAGGCTAAGCCTCTGCCTGTGGTGCCACCATCCCACATGGGCACTGACTGTATCTTGGCTGCTCTCTTCTGAATTAACTCTCTGCTAATGGCCTAGGAAAGCAGTGGAAGATGGCCCAAGTGCTTGGGGCCCACACCCATGTGGTAGACCCAGAGGAAACTCCTGGTTCCTGGCTTTGGATTGGCCAGTTCCGGCCATTGCGGCCATTTGGAGAGTGACCAATGGAAGGAAGACCTTTCTCTTGCTCTTTTGCTCTCTCTGGCTTTAACTCTACCTCTCAAATAAATATATAAAATCTAAAAAAAAATTGTGGTGGATACACAAATGGAAATTTAAAGAGAAATATAGAAAGTAGGAGATTTGAAGTTATTTAATATTACAAACATTGAGACCCACTGTAAATGAGATCAGCAAATGATGTAATAGTAACCTTTCCCTTGGATATAAGAGGAACCAATGTGCAGCAGTTCAGATTAGACAGCTTGCTTAGATTTTTCTGTAAGATATAAAATCACACATATCCTTCATCTCTTACCTCTTCCATGTGAGCCCAAGAAACTCAGGTGTGGCATACAGCTGCAACATGTAGACCTCAAAATTTCAAGAGACAGGTGCCATTTCCCACACAACAAACACTTTTTCTGCTACTATAGATATAAATGGGAATGTTCTATGTATTTGATTCAAGCACAAATCTATCTTTACTAAAGCTAAAATACTAAGAGCCAGACTTCTGATCCTATCCTCTTGTGCTCTGGAAATTATGTTCCTAGCTAAGAATGAGTCAGCTTGGTTTTACTTACAGAAAGCTTTAGATTATACTATACAAGTTAGTATACTGGTTAGTACACTGCACTTCACTTAGTCACATTTTGAGTGAGTGAATATCACACAACAATCCTGGTTCTGAGTACTGGGAATAAAACAATGAGCTGGAAGGACACCATCCATCCCTGCCCTCAAAGAATTTTTATTCCTATTGAAAGAAAACAAAAATAAGCATGCAAGTTATTGATTAAATATGTCAATTTAGATGATTAAGCTTTTTGAAGGAAATAAGTAGAGCAACATGATTGAAATACCTGAGGACAGAAACAGATCAATTTTGAGAATTTAGGGGAATGATCTGAATGATGCTGAGTGATAAGAAAGAAGCACCCACTGTGAAGAGCTAAGAGAAGAAGATCATTCCCAACAGAAGGGGCAGCACATGGCAGGCCTGGAAACAGGGAATGGTTCGGCATACTTGCAGAACAACAAGATGACCAGGATAGGTGGCATGCACTTGAGCAAAGGAGGGTTGAGGCCAATGTCTCAGAAAGGTAGGCAACTCAAGGAGGGGCTTCTAGGGAGGCTGGATTTCATTCTCACTGTAAGGGAATGTCTCTTGAGCAGAAATATTAAAGTCTCACTTAAGCTTTTAAAGCATGCTGTTCTTCAGAGACTGGAAGGCATGAGAGGAGACTAGTTATGAGTGGCTATAGGAGTCTAGGTGACAGAGGATGGGACTTATAACAGCACAGAGACTGGGGACAGGCAGCAAGTTAGGGAAACTTAAGTATAGAGCAAGTTTGATTTGGTAATGGATTGATCATGGGCTGTGAGGGAAAGATGAATCAAGGATCACTCTGAAACATGGATGAGAAATTAGCATTTGTTTGTCCTGATACCTAGAGAAATCCTGAGGAAAGAGAAGTTTGGGAGATGGGTGGGGTTGGCCTTATTAAATTTGAGACCCTCATAAATTATCAAAGAAGAGGTCTAAGTCAGGTAGCAACATTTATGAAATGAAACAGAGAAGAGATCTTGGTAGTAGATACAAACTTAAGAAACCCAAGCCTGTACATGAGTTATAAAGACACAGGCTGAACAAGATTAGCATGGAATGATTTCCAACAGATAAGGGAGGAAGGAATAGAAGAGTTCAAGACCTAGGACTAGAACAGTAGAGCAGCACGTGAAGTAAAAGGAAAGGCACTGGATGTAAGGAAATAGAAATCAAAAAATAAAATGTTTTCAAAAGAGAGGATTGCTCAGCTAAAGCAACTGCTGCTGAAAGGTCCAAATAAATGAAGACACATAATCGCCCACTGAAGCAGTAATACATTCCAAATAGCTAAAATAATTCTGAGCAGAAAGAACAAAGTTTTAACAAAGATATTAAGAATATATATGGAAAAAGGGCAATCTCTTCAATAAATGGCATTAGGACAACTAGATAACCACCTACAGAAGAAAATTAGAACTTTATCTGACACCAAATACAAATATCAGCTTAAAATGGAAATAAGACATACATATAAGAACTGAAACTATAAAGTTATTAGAGAAGAACAGGGGAAAACTGCATGACATTAGCCCGGCCAATGATTTTTTCAGATGTGTCCCCAAAAGTGCAGGCAACAAAAGCAAAATATACAAATTAAATGCTGCCAGACAAAAAAAAAAATTTGCACCAAAGGGAAACACTCAACCAAGTTAAAACAAAATCTACAGAGTAGGTGAAAATAGTTGCAAACCATGACTCTGATAAGGGACTAATACTCAAAACATAGAAGGAGCCAGCGTGTAACCACCATGTTAAGCCTTTGCTTGCAATGTTGTCTTCCCACATTGGAATGCAGTTTGAGTCTTGACTACTGTGCTTCCAATCCAGCACCCTGCTAATGTGCCTAAAAAAGCAGCATATGATGGCTCGAGTACTTAAAACCCTGAAACCCATATGGGAGACCCGATGAAGGTCCTTGTTCCTGGCTTTAGCCAGGTCCAGCCCTCCCTGTTGCTGCCATCAACACTGAACCAGCAGATAGAGGATATCTCTATTTCTCTCTCTCTGACATTCTACCTTTCAAATAAACAAATAAACAGACAAATAAAAAATCTAAATAATAAAATTATATAAAGAATTCAAGCAACTCAATAGCAAAGAAATGATTTGATTTAAAAATGGGAAAAGGATCTCAATAGACATTTCTCAGAAGAATTTATAAAACTGTTCAACACTAAAAATCATGGAATGTCAAATTAAAAACTTAATGATTTTACTTCTCTCCAATTAGAAGGAATATTATCAAATCAAGAAATGTAATACATGTCACCAGAATGAAGGATAAAAATCAAATGAGTATCTCAATAGACATAGAAAGAAGCAATTAGTAAATGAGAAAGCCAAATGATACCTTTTGCTTGTGTGTTTGCAGATAACATGATTCTATGCATAGAGAAACTTAAAAACCTCCACCAAGAGAATATTGGAACTGCTAAATGCAAGGAATAAAATCAACACAAAAATCAATAACAATTCTTACACCAAAAACCATCTCATTGAGAAAGAAATTATAAAAAGCAATCCTATTCACAATGGTTGTTTAAAAAAATAAATAAAATACCTTGGAAGGAATTTAACCAAGGGTGTGAAAGACATTACCATGAAAATTACAAAACACTTTTGAAAGAAACTGAACAGGGCACCAAAAAATGGGAAAACCTGCCATGTTTATGAATTGGAAGAATTAACATTCTTAAAATGTCCATATTACCCAAAGCAATTTATAGATTCAATGCTATCCCATGAAAATATTAATGACATTCTTCAAAGAACTAGACAAAACAAATACTAAAATTCAATAGATTCCAAACAGCCAAAGGAATCTTGAACCTAAAGAAAAAAGCTGGAGGCATCACAATGCCAGATTTCAAGATGTACTATACAACTATTGTGACAAAAACAGTATGGAATGGGAATAAAAACAGGCACAAAGACCAATGGTAAGGAATAACAATTCCAGAAATTTTACACATCTGCAGTAAACTGATTCTTAACAAAGCCACCAAAAAAAAAAAAATGCACTGTAGAAAGGACAGTCTTTTCAGCATGTGGTACTGGGAAAACTGGATACCTATATACAAAAGACTGAAATTAGACAACCCCTGCATCTGACTTATCATCATATACAAAAATCAACTCAAAATAGATAAGACCTAAGTGTAAGACTTGA